GTATAAGGTGCTGTCTGATTTTCACAAACAAAAAATAGAGAAAGCTAAGAAAGTGGCATTAAAACTACGATATCAAATAAAAATGTTGATGCAAATTAATTGTCACAGTAAAAAAAAAAAAATGCCTACAAAATGTTTAAAAACTGTCCGTGACAACACTGCTGCGCCCTCTTTTAAAATAGCCATTAAAATAATTGATGTTATTTCATGTTTTCATTATTGCTCTCTTTGATAGTCATTCTACCGATAGTAAACAAAAAATGTGAAGAGACCTGCTCAACAACAATAGACATGCTGTCAAAACAATAGTTACATACGAAATTGTCGTTGGAAAACATAAACCTAAATATGTATTAAAAATCACTACACAATTTCTTTCTCCTCTCACTCCCCACCCGCTAAAAATAAATTAAATTAGGGGCAGTTCGCGGCGAACCACGAACCACCCCAGCAGACAAAAATTATCCAGTTGAGACACCCCGTAGGATGTTCAAGACGGCAGCCGCCAGCTATAGTGCAATGCCAATAGCCACCGCCTATACAACCACCTTATTGATCATGGTCGTATCCTGGCAGGTAAGTATGAAGTTCTAGAGATCTTACATGACGGGTATTTATAGTTTTTTGAAATTGTGGGATTTTATTAAAATTATTCACGTGTTGTGTACTGACTCGTGATAATAATGATATATGATTTAATTACCAATATACATATATAATATATAATTACTACGTACGTACGTATAATTACTACTACATATAGTTACTACTACATATAGTTACTACTACGTATAGTTACTACTACGTATAGTTACTACTACGTATAGTTACTACTACGTATAGTTACTACTACATATAGTTACTACGTATAGTTACTACGTATTGCGTATAATTACTACTGTGCATAATTACCACTATGCATAATTACTACTACGGATATTACTACTATAATTACTACGTACACATATACGTAATTGTTTACGTTTTCTGACAGCAAACTCTTACTACGGTTAATAACGAACTTAGTTCATTATTGAAAATTACTATGCATATCTGTGGAATTGCGCCTTAAATTTTAACGACTAAAAAATATATGATTGCCGTTTTTTTATAATTTAATAATCGCCAATATGGTTTTTCTTAAAAATCCATAGAACTCATGCCACTTTTTATACCGAAATATTATGAAATTTCCGAATTTTGAGTTCGCTCGATTCAGAATTCATCATGGGGTTTGATACATTCAGAATTGACTGTATAATATAATATGTATTAAAATTTAGAATTACGAGTCGATAAAAGTTATCGTTAAGAGTATTATTGTACTGTTTATATTTATACGAACACTAGGCTTCGGATTAAAGAGGTAATCATTTTAATACAATGTTATCTAAATATAACGAAGGTGACCATTAGAATTGTGACTAACAAATAGCTATTAGTTAAAAATGCTAATAATTCCGAAAGTTCTAATAGATCAATCGTTTTTTGTAAATATACTATATTTCATTTTATTAGGCGTATTATTTATGCCGTATATGTTGTGCCTCATATGTATTCTTGCGTCGTATGTAATTCAACGCAAATATTGATTTTCAGATGACTCGCATAACCTATCTATCAGTTATGAATTAATTTTGAATTCATAGGTTGTATACTGACGCAAGGATCAATAATCATGTATTTAAACATTGCTTTTGCAAAAACTACTAATTGATCAGAATTCATTTATTATAAAACACACTTATGATGGTTTGCATCTATTTTATGTTTTATAGAGTTTTCTAAGTTATTTATATAAAATTTTTAACGCAAAATTTTTTACGTTAGGACTAGTATTTAGGATTGAATTAAGTTTGGGAAAGTTTTTGGGGCATAGAACATTTTTACTTAGAATATTCACATCGATTAATTAGCTAATTTTTAAGATAATGTATTTATAAATGTAAAACATCAGAGGTGCATTTTAGTAAAAGTTTTTAAAATTTACAATAAATCTAATTAAAGATTTATTCAATTTCAAGAATTAAATTTGACCTGGTAGTTGCTAAGATTTTTTTACTCAAAAATTAAATTTGCAAAGATATATAAATAGTAAATATGGAAATATAAAAGATAATTCTCTTAAAATATTAATAATTTCTAGCTAGTTATAATTTTTACTAATTCTAATTTTATTAAAATTAAAAATTAAAATATAGTTTTAAAAAAATAAAGAACAAATATAAAGTTTAAAGTTTAATTAAAGTTAGGTTTTAGGAGTTCTAAACATTTTGCTTAATATCTTTAGCATAAATGTTTTTGAGATATAGCATTCTTGGAAAAATTATCGCCAGTTAAAAATATAATATTTTTTAAAAATTTTTTACTTTTATATAATTAAATTTGATTAATCGATAACAGAGTTAAACAAATATTAAATCTTATATAAAGTAAATTTATTCTAAAATTTATTTATTTTTTAAATATAATTTTTTTTATTAATAGGTATGTGTTTGGTTATTGTACTAAATTTAATACGTGCAAAAAAAATTATTTTGGATTAATTATTTAACCAAATTTATTTAAACTTTGTTAAAATATATTTAAATATTAGAGCTATATTTTTGCATAATTTTAGCAATACTTATTAATAAAAATTTTGTATAATTTGATCTTAAACTCTAAGTATTATTTGAAAATTTTGCTGTACTAAATTTAGTATAGTATTAAAAAAATCATATTAGATAAAAGTTTATAAGAAAATTAAAAAAATAAAAATTTTAAAATTATTTTAGATTTGGGTTTAACTTGAAAATAATTAAAAAAAATAAATAATAATTTTTTAAAATAATTAAATAAACCTGTTTTAAAGTGATACAAATCTAAAAAT